TCCGCTTTTAAATGCGCCGGCTCGCCGAAAATTTCTGCACAGTTGATGAGGCATTTTGTTTGGCCCCGGGTCCTAGCGGGTTGTCCGGGAGGCTCCAAGCTTGCAAGGGTGGGTGCAGCGTCGCTTCGGCCGGGGAATGGGCGCGGGCCTGGAGGGAGGGAGTAGGGAGCGGTACTTACGTCTGAGGCTCGTCCGAGTGGGTAATGGATAGTGGGCGCTGGGGGATGTTGGAGATTCGGGGCGAGGAGCAGCGTGAAGAGTAGATGAAGGTTGGGTCGGGCCTAGCAACCACCCGCGAGGGTTGAGGGAGCTAGGAGGGAGCTACCCAGTGCAGCCAATGGCGCGACATGCCATCATTTCGTCGTAGATGAGCCGACGATCGCAGCCTCACGTCGGAGATACTCACGTTCTGATGTGTAGTCACTATCTGCTAGTTGCCTGTCACAAGAAGAGCCGCTTTAGAGCTTCACCGGTCGTTGATACCAAGCCATCCACCGTAGCACTCCCAGCACTCCCCATGAACCTCTCGCTCGCGCCTCCACACAGTTGCCCAGGTGCGTCTGGCGCTGCAAGCCGCTGACGCTACTCGTCGGCTCCACTCAGCCAGCACCCCTGCCACCTCTTAACCGTTCTTGTGCCGCAGGAGCAGCAACGATGTCATCGTCCATTGCTTATCGTCCATGACTGATGAAGGCGGCGCGAACCCACCAGCACCCTCCGATATCTCGCCAGGGCCGTTTGACACCAGCCGAACCGTGGGCAGCATCAACCGGGCAACAGCAGGCCTAGCGCACCGGAGCCAAAAACAACGCACGTCAATAATGCCTCATTTCCAGACGCTGGCTTCGCGTCGACAGGGCGACGCGCTACGCCGATAGCGCCCAGGCAGACTGGAGACGCGTGGGGTGGCCTTGGTAGCTCAGTGCCGGGATCCTCACTAAGCTTCTGCTGTGCCTGTGCCCCCGCATCTTGGCGAAGCATGGCACACGAGCCCTACACGGCCTTTGAAACGCTGCAGAGCATCACCGTGTCACAGGCACCATCAGCAGAAGCAAGTGTCGCGAGCTGCACGCGCGCCTTGGAACGTCTGAGTTGTGCTGCCGCGTCCGCTATCGCGACGCTGCCCGTACTGCCAATATTGTTGCTATCCGGGATCGTGGAATAGCGTCGCCACATGACTCGGCGCCCATGTGACCGCCGTCGCTGTTGGCATAAATCCTTATTCAGCCCATCATAACCACCGCAATGTGCAGCCAGCCATCGAGATATGCCGTCGCGCGCACCAGCTCCTCCACACTCGCGCTCAGCGGCAGCACCGCTCCGTGCAACACGGCCTGCGCCAGCAGCGGACTGCGTCTGCTCGGAAATAGTGTCGGCAATATCGCGTTCAGTGCTGTCCCGATGGTCTGTGGTTGCCCTGTCTGCCGTCAGCGCCTTCCACACCTACACCGCAATTACACGTACTAGACGACAGGTTCGGCGTCACCAGCCTCTGCACTACTCTCAAACTCCCGGGTGCCGTCTCTTCTTGCACCCCTTCCGACGACGCGTGTGGGAGATAGAGCCGCACTGGTAGATGTCTCAGATTGACTCCTTGCGGGTTCAGCAGCTTCTGGTTGATAGGGTTGTAGATCGCAAAGTCGTGATTCTTCACTCCGCTCCAGAGCTGCGTGCTGTCTTCTTTGCTTAGAAACATGACGGTTTTCCCTGTTCCTGTCCTGAGGTAGTCGGCCTCCTTCACGCTGTGGATGAACAGATCATGCATATGCTTGTCGTCATTGTCGAGCTGAACCAGCTGTTCAGAAGGGAAGTCGGAGAAGTGCACTGTGAGTCGCCATGGTAAATGTTGACGCTCTTCCTCTATGCTCTCGATCTTGTGCGCTTGCTCAGCCTCCGTATCCGTGTCTGAAGGATACGCCGGCTCAGCGCCAGAGTATAGGTCGTAGAGAAGACCCAGTGGATAATGCCATTTCAGCGGCACGTCTTCGTAGGATAACCATGCGTCTTTAGGCGTGACATCTGGGTAGATGAGGCTGCGTGCGAAGAAGGCATGTAGTTTGTGTATGAGCAGCCCGAGATACGATATCCGTGGAAACTGTATCTACCTCTAGTCAGCCATAGCACATCCGATGTATCATCGCCAGACTATGTCGACACTGCACGTACTAAGTAAGGATCCGACTCGTCGTACGTCCGACAGTCGCCCTTGTGCAGGCGTATCTCGAGCGGGATACTCCCATTCCAAGTGCTCTGGCGCAGTCTACTCGCAACGTCTCTCTCAGCCATGGGCGCGAAGCATCCGAAGTGCAGGTTCGCCAGCCGCCGTTCTGGTAGCCTAGGCGCAGCTGAGCTGATGGATAGTGGGGTAGGTCGCTGCGCAGGCAAGGCGGAAGGCGCGTTGATGGCGGGGTATGCAGGGGGAGCTTGGGCCTGACGTACAGGAAACCCTGGGTCTTTTCGCTCGTGCGTGCGTCTCTGCGACAACCCCAGACCGACTGTCGTAGGAAGATGTGCGCTGGTCGTGTCTTCTTCTCCACCCACAACGCATGTATGACGTGACGCCGTAGATGGGTGACTTGCTTACGCACGACAGCTGGACCATGGATGTGGCACTGAGCCGCAAACGCTCGCGCCTGACTACAGACGAAGATGAGGACGAGATCCAGCGGAGGAGGGAGCCGTCGCCTGCGCTGCCGCCATTGGGCGATGCGCTGAAGAGGTCGAAGACGCAGTGCGAATTGGAAGAGCTAGATGTTATAAGTCCGGAAGAAGCATGGAGCGTGGATGTGGATGCGATACTGGGCAGCAGTACGCTCGCGACTCCTGTAGGCAGTATGCTGGAAGCGCATAATAACTGGGCAAGGTATAAGAGGCAGGCGTCTATAGTTGTTTTGTGCGTGCAAGGGAACGTTCAGGTCCATTACGACCTGCTTTGGTAAGATCATCCTGGACCATTTCAAACTACTACTAACAACCCACAGCTCCGCTCTACCAGACCTCTACGCGCTCTCGCCCTCCCTACAACCGTTCGTCCTCTGCCACGACCCCTCGATACATAGACTCCCCTCCTCTGCGCCCTTCTCGCTCCCCCTTATACAAGCCGCGACTCCGTCGAACAACCACTTCGTCCGCTTGGGCTTACTACATCCCCTCGGTGGAGGCAAGTTCCCATTAGATGCACTCGTCGTGCTGGATAAGAAGGGTAGAAGGAGGTTAGTGCTGCCGTTTGGCTGGGGTGCTGGTAAACATGCGGATACACCTGCCGGACGGAGTATACAGCTACGGTTGATGGCATTGCTGAGGAGCTGTGTCGCGATGCTAGAACAAGAATAGGAATTGCTATTATGGGTATGCTGATTGCATAAGCATACAGTGAGAGCACTCTGGGAATCGTAATGGAGCAGCGTGATGATTTTCAAGGGGTTTTATTACATGTGTTGTACCACATGAACGCCATACGCCTGCTATCAATCGGGGTATCATCGCGAAACAGACTACGTGTGAACGCCTACGTCTGGAGAGGCTCCGCTAGTAGCGGACTTGTGAAGCAAGAGAGAACAGCGAGGGATTGCAAAGACAACCCCAACGCTCACCCATACAGACTCGTAAGCCGCCGCAACATGACTTATCTAACCAGGGAATCGCCGCCGGTACGCAGCAGGATCCTCCCTTTTGACCACCTCAACGTAAGCCTTGACGCCCCTCCTTACTTTGTTCAGCCAATACGGCAGATATCCTTCGGTAGTAAGGAACAGATCACTGTACACTTTGCTTCCACATAAGTCATCTTCGTAGAGAACAATGTGAGTGGCGAGCGTGCACATGACCTTGTGAAACGGCAGTACCGAACGTGTCTTCTTGCAAAAGGCTGGAGTGAACAGCCCGTGCTTCTCTACCAAGCTCCTGAGCTGTTCAGGCGTCAGGCCATCTTCACCGAGGGCAGCGCACATGAACTTGAAGGCGAAGTGTTGGACGGCGTTCATACCCATGGCGACTGCACAGAAGTACACTTGCAGGTGGAAGTCGGTTGCAGTGATGCCGTCGGGAAGGTCGTTGGGCATGTCGTACTGTGGGTCGAAGACGGCCTCAGCCACGGTATTGACGACCATGGGGCTGTAGTCCTTGGTAGGCGCTTCTTGGATGACTTCGGTCTGAAACTGCGTCAGGACAATGTTTGAAAAGTAGCTGAACTGCGGAATGTACTCGAAGACTTACATTATGCTCGATCCATTCAGACGCCGCAATTGCCAACTCCAGGTTTGTAGCAAAGCTAGCCAGCCTGTCAGAAGACGGGAGAGACAGGTCGCGCGGCATATTACGGCGGAGCTCCTCACGTGCTCTACAAAGGGAGTAAGTATCAATCAAAACACAGGTCTCGGGCGGTTGGCTCGTAGCTTACCTCTTGAAGAGTTCTTCGTCAGATGGCTCCATGTCTTCATACGACAGATCTCCGAACATGAGATCCACCAAGGTAATGTCGGCCCCACTATTACCCAAAGTGTGCTCGTCGGGGTTGCTGGCCATCGCGCTAGATATCGTGGTCGGTAGAGCGACTGCTTCCTGTGGTTCTGAGGGCGGGTCGCTGAAAGCTGTCTGGTGCGGGCGAGTTCAGTTGGTGCAGGTAGTTGTTGGAGTGGCTGCGAGATGGAGAAGCTGAACAACTACCGATGATGACTATCACGGTGTTATGACTGCCTCACTAGCGCCTCACATGACTTAATAACAATGGTGCTGCACATTCACTCCGAAGATTCTAATCTACCAGGCCTATTTGTGCTGTCCTTCCAGGTATCATCACCCAATGTACTGCAAATGGATGCCTACGCCAGGAGTATCTCAGCTAGCAGCACAGTCACAAAACAAGAGACATAATAGGCTTTGAGGTATACATCCTGGTTGTATTCATCTTTCACCTAAGCATGCAAAGACTACAAAAGTCTGCAAATACTCATGCGCTGACAGCCCATCGCCTACAAACGTCGTTGTCACTGCCACGCCCCCTATTCCTCCATGCGATCCTCATCCTTGACTTTAACGTCTCCGTCAGCAGGCGCATCAGTCATGCTGGTGTCTTGCTTGTTCTCACGACCACCAGTCTCATCTGATGTGCTACGAGCAGCGACAGTGGGTACGAGGGCGGGAACTTGGGGAACCTGGATGGTGGTGTTGCCCTCTTCGAAGCTGTATTCGATACGTGGGACCTCGGTGTTGTCGTCCATGCCGTGGTCGGATGAACTGATCAGGGGGATGAAGCTAGAGTCATCGACGTTCTCGGGAACAGCGTGCTCACTAGCATCCTGACGGTCGGCTTTGGTCTGGTCCGTAGTCGGCTGATCACTTCCTTGGTTGCGCGCAGTACGCGGAGCAACGGGACTAGGACCTTGTGGACTATGAGAGGCGTACGGAGGATTGAAGTCATCGTAGAGACTCGGTCCATCGACATCTTCAGAGCCACCCGACTCACCGCGGAACGTCTGGCTCTGTCGAAGGCTTGAACCTGGACGAGGGGTACGCAGGAGACCTGATGCCGGCTTCATGGGAACCGAGGCTGCCTTCTCACCTTGAGACGCCTTGGATCCGCCCATAGACTGCCAAGACCTGTCCAGCTCGGATGGTGTGGGTGTAGGCGGCAGTGCTTTGTTGGTATGAGTGGCCGAGCTTCCATGGTCAGGACGACGGGGGGTAGGCGAATCGCTGTGGTCCTCGACAGTAGGTTGGTAGATATTGCTCGAGCCAGGGCGCTGGAGAAGGCGACCGCCGATGTTTCCACGCTGTCCTTGTCCTGTACCGACACTACGCATTTTGGGGGTTCTCGCATCAAGCGAAGGATCAGTCGACAGTCGCCTCTTGCTCGATAACTGTTGGTCGGTGGCGCCGATGTTGACCATGCGCTCTGGGATGTTATGTTCGAGCTTGTACTTGTCCAGGTCTCGCTCGGCCGCCCCCTCGTATTTCGCATAGCCAGATGTTCCGAGGAACTCAAGGTACTTGGTGCCACCTTCTTCTTGGAGCCACACAGAACGCTGCATCGCTCCACAAGTCGCGACCGCGTAAAGGAGCTCTTTGCTGGTGTTCTCTGACGGGTCGAACAGCTTGTACTTCTCCATCATGTTGACGAACTGGTCGGCCGTCGGTAGATCCTTGAGGAGAGAGGTCTTGAAGTTTCTAGCAGCCTCAAGTAGGAGTCCCGGGATCTCCATCTTCTTCGCGCAATGATACAACTGGAGGTGAAGTTCTGTTGGCGTCTCGTCTATCCGCACCGTGAGGTTATCGTCTTCGATACTAGGCCCAGCTTTCTTCATGTATGTCAACCTATACTCGCCTAGCTGCTGGGCTTTGTTGAGATAGTATTCGCCGTAGAGAATGTGTTGAACCATCAGATCAACGACGATGAACTTGTGGTCATGCATAGTGACAACGGAGTCGGTTTTTTGTGGATCTTGGATCTGATGAATAGTCAGTCTAGGCTCCCAAGGCAGCGCGAACCTGGAACTTACCTGCATCCTGAACTTCTTCGAAAGGACTCCGGCCGATTCCGTAGGTAGAGTACAAGTAGCGGTCTCACTCCCCAGCTTGGCAACAAGTGTTACGGTACTAAGCGGGCTCGTCACAAACTCGCGGCGCCACCTGCCTTTGTCAGTGATATACTCGTGCAGATGACATACGCTTGACAGTACATATCGCGACACTCATGGGCCATCGGGGAGACCTTCGACGCCGGCAGATGTCCAAAATGGATAGCCACCAACTCCATGTCCGCGCCGGGATCGCTGTTTGTCAACGCCATTGCCCGAGGCTCGACGCGCTGAGGCTCTGCGACACGTCCGCTGTCGCTCTGACTGATGTTTTGGTTGTCCATGTCGGTTCTTGAGCCTACCGAAGATGTGTAGAGGCTGGGTCGTTTGGACGCGTAGGCGGCAGGAAGTGAAGGGGCAGAGTGGAAAGACAACGAGCGCCGCGACTAGCGCTAGTAGCAGGGCGGCCACCTGCGACTTATTAAGCGGGGGTGGAGTTTGTGGAGTTATGAGTGGTTTGGGTCTTTCACTGTTTGCGTGTTTGCAGTGCATGAGCGGCAATGTCTATGCCTGAGATCTTGTTAGCCTGTATACAAAGCCATCAATTCAGAGATATCCCAACCCCTCTACTCTGAATTAGCTTCTCCCATGAGATGGACCCCCAAGTGGTAGAAGTATACGTGTGTCCTTGACTACGCTATGCCATAGTGTTGATTGGGTCAATGTAAGTATTTTTTGCGTCCACACCAAAGCCGAGAGTTCGGTTCTTTGCTCGATCATTCTTTTTTTGCCTTTGTTTTGTCTTCTGGTGAGAGTGAAAGGGCAAACGTGAGTCCTTTGCGGCCTGCTAAAGTGGGGCTTGCCCACCCGTTGCTAACGCTGCTTTGATGTCCTTCTACTAGGGCTCATACACCAAGACCTCAATAATATTCCTCAAGGACAGCGCTCAATCGTGGCTATGACGAATCAATCTCCGAAACCAGACAGCAAAGGCGAGAGCTCGGAATTGGATCCTGCGACAACACTAGTCAATGATGCATCGACACCCATTGCACCTTCAGGCTTGAATGCACAGCCAGAGCACGAGAGCCGCGAGGCTGTCAAACGCGACAATAGTGCGGACCAGGGTGGTTTGGAGACAGAGCCGCGTGCTCAAGAAGCGCATCCGCGTACGACAAGCCCAACACCGTCCGCCAGAGATGTAGCTCGTGCTGCGACACACAACCCGGACGAACGTGACGGTGAAGAAGCTGTACGAACAGGTGAGTTACTCGACACCCTTTATGAAGCATGGAGGTTGACTTAACAGACGACGGAGCTCGCGCCCATATCAACGCAGTTACGATATCGTTGGCGACTCTGAAGACCCTCCTGGGCCATATCTTCGAGGGCAAGAGTGTCAGACTACCACAGCCGCAACTCGTTTGTGCTCAGTGAGTATTGATTGTATTTCACTCCTACGTGCGCTGATAAATCGCAGTCGTGGCCAGATGGCCCTTAGCAAGCGACTCGGTTGTGACTTCACACTCGTCGTAGATGAAGTTGCGTTCGACGTGAATTCGGGTTTCCTCATTGCAGGCTCGGAAGTGCTAGAAGGATATGCTTTTCCTAGCAATGTAAGTACAAGGCTAGTTCAAATGGACAGAACTCGTACTCACGGCTTTTAGGGTACACTTAATACTCTTACTAGGGAGTGCGAGTTCAACGCACAAGTACACAGTCCCACGATGGTCGACCGCCTTGTCGAATTCATATACACTGGAACCTACAAACTGGACAAGGGCGGACGAGCGACGATGCTACACCATGCGACAAAGTTACCCATCGGCAAGACCAAGGCGAGCTATCCCATGAAACTGGAGGCTGCGGCGGAGTTTCATCTGGAGATGTACAAAATGGGCAGAGACCTCCGATATCATTCTTTGGTAGCGGTCGCGCATAGCAAGATGGCAGAGGATATGTTGTGGAAGAGCACCGTCGACGTGGGTATTGCGAAACGTCTCGTGAACTGGATATACGGCTCAGCCCAGAGGCTGCATGATACAGCTGAAGAAACGAACGATACACTCGGGGACGACAACCTGAAGGAACTGGTTGTAGCGTGTATCCTGCGGCACGTTCATCAGAAGCTCTGGGATGAGGAGGAGGTAGAGGGGTTCAAGCACCATGTCCAGGCATACCCTGCTCTGGAGGTAGATTGGGATCTTGCCGAAGAGGAGTACAAAGAGCTGCTGAGGAAGCGACCCGAAGCTAAGAGAGGGGCGAAGAGGGCGAGACGCGAACAGCAACATCAGCAGGAGGTTGCGAGTATGCTCCAGCTCTTAGAAGGTCCTACTCTTTTGTAGACGAGCTACTATCGAAAGCTGCGATCTCCCGCATCTTGTCCTACAGTTTCGATACTTCCGGCTGAGGAAGCCACGAGGTGAGCATCCGTGTATGGTAGTGGCGGCAGTCGAAAGACATGATGCAGGGCTAATTACATGGCATTCGATCTGTACCGTAGCATAGTTGTAAAAGAGTGCCCCAAGCGCCATGTTGCTGAGATCGAACGCGTGATGCGCGGTTGCAGGAGGTGTGAAGGTACGTTTCCGTGAGGGTGGCTGGCGACTAGCGTGGTTCGCCACCCTGCCGCGATGACATTGGCTGGCGCGTCGTCGAACGTTCGATCACCTCTTCCCTGAACATGCGGACCTCGACACGTTCATCAGCTGAAATGCGGATTGACGACGATGGCTTCATTCCGTGATTTGAAGTACCGAAAACTACGCGTGCAGATGCCATTTCTTCCGCTGCAACAAGCCTTGGCAGCCTTCTCATTGCACGAAAACGCGTCTATTTTTCGTGCGTTCGCGATCTCGTCTCGCGATGAACATTGCGGATACTTTGGGCCCAACCTCGGGTCAGCTACTTATTTGATAGCGCCGATTTGCTGGCGGCGTCTGGCGTGATACCTCCAGGGCTAGGTAGCGTGTCCCGGGCCCGTGCATCTTGTCTGCACGGGGTCTCATCATCGTACACATTCTCTATCAACTTGCGCCACTACACACTAATTCTCCTCATGCCACCAGTTCGCACAGAGAAGACGAACAGCTCAGCGAAAGCTACTCCTTCCGGCGGTCTCGCAGCTTTCGGCTTCAGACCTGCCCCGAAAGAGGAGGTCATAGCCGCAGCGGCCCGGGCAAAGCCTCCAGTTGTATCACGATCCGCTGCAGACCTAGTAGCGCAAGAAGCGCCGAAGCCAAAACCTCGTCTTCCCAAGCCTCTCGTTAAAGGAGTAAAACAAGCCTCCTTCGCAGACTCCAGATGCGACTGGGACGACAAGTACCACAAGATTATTGGGACATCAACACGGAAGATCACTTTTGGAAGTGCCTTTGAGCTGACTGAGTAAGCCTCATACTTTACTTCCTGTCTACTGGGCATACCGTGCAATACTAAACCGCGTTTCCTAGCAAACACATCGACGACATCCTCTTCCTGGGTCCTAAAGTCTGCGACACACTAACGGAAATCCATCTCACCTACGTGGATGTTGACTACAACGCTCACAACGGTATTAATTTCTGACTATGCAACGTCTTATAGACTTATTTCTGACTATGACGCTAGAATGTCTTGTGACGGACGAGAGTATCAAGCTTCTTGCTAAGGCTTGCAGAAACCTAAAGAAGATCTCTCTACCCGGGTCTAGGAGTTCCAAGCTTGGTGATCAAGGCTTGATCCATCTCATTTCGTTCTGTCAGAACCTCACCCATCTGGAGTTTTCCGGTTCTGGCGTTACCGAAGTCACTTTCGAGCAATGGATTGCTCACCCAGATTGGGCGCCGAATTTGAAGAAACTACGCCTCAACGACCTCTCTTACAATAGAAAACCCATGCGTGCGTTGCGAGAGTTTGGAAGGACGCGACCGACACTACCTATCGAGCTGGTTACCCGTTCAGAATTCAAGAAGTGGGATACGTGGTATCTGCAGACCAGTCACGATACGTACAAGAACGGGAGAAAGGTGTCTTCTAGTCTCCCTACTGTTACTTGAGCTACATTTAGGCGCGCTCGGCCACACATATTTGTTTCAGTTTACCTTGTCTTGCTTTGGGTGAGCAGCTTCTTGTACCTAACAAATTATCTAAGATACACAAATGTTTATAAGTTTACAGGACTAGGAACGGTTTGCTTACCTCGAGGTTGCAGTGGGTTGAGCGAGTTGCATTAATATCGTAGATGATGATTGGCTGTTCTGACAACTCCCGCGGAGAAATCCAAGGGCTCAAATTGCTGCACCCAGTTCTTTCCTCAGAGGTTGTCAGCTCGTCGGTGTGCCACACTAGCTGCCTAGGCGTTCGGAGGACATGCGCTGCACAATAGGCTTACGGCTTGGAACCCAGGTGGCTCGAAGTCTTACACGATGAGCTCCCTACAACAAAGTCTCACTACTTCCAAGAAGAGCAAATCTAATAAAGTCTTACAAAATAGCGCATCACTACATGTGTCAGAGAATTGGGAGGTTGGTGAGTCTCACCGAGTGTCAGCCGTAGGAACAAGACGGCGCGATGCGGAGCGCGCTAGAGACGCGTCGACACGAACACAATATAAAAGGTGAGATATCCGAAACCTTTCTTTCTGTGCTCGATATTGTCAGTCTTTACTTTCCTTCTAGCAGTTATGCCGCCAACTCGCACGCAGAATACGAACGGAACTCCAAAACGCAACTTCGCCAAACTAGGCTTCCCCGTCGTCTCACGAGACGAAGCTTTAGCAGCCGCTACGACGGCAGTGATAGCGACAACTCCAAAGCCGCCCCTTCGCAAGAAAACATCTAAACGATCCTGTCGCGTGAAGACGCAGTCATGCCCAACACGGACTCGCGATTCACCGCCGTCTCCTCCTGCCAGTCTACCAATAGCGTCAACTGTACTTGAAGAAAGCAAAGGCGAGACTTCTGGCTCTGGTTTTAATAGGAAACGCTTTGGAAGAGACCATGATCTCCGTGGATGTCCATGCGGGCGCGATCGTGCCGCCACACGTCTGACTGATGTCCAAACATGGCGGAAACCAAGTCATCTTCCACTCGTGGATCACATAGCTATGGAACCGGAATGTCATAATGAATTCGACGATTGGAACATAAAGTGCGATCGGTGTGGGCCGGAACGACAGCTCGATGTAGGCATGTAAGTCAAGAGGATTCGACGTGTCTTGCTTGGTAAAAATTCCGCTAACACCTTGAAGTATGGACGACGAGGCTCTCATCGCAGTGGAAATGAACGGAAGGATAAAGCATATCTACTCTGGAGGTACGTAAGTCGAAAATTTTACCTGATATTCCACAAGAAGCAGCTGTGC